GACCAGTGGGGAGAGAGGGGCAGTTGGGAGTGACCAGGCCAGCAGGGGTAGGCAGTAAGAGGCAACCAGGCTGGCAGGGGAGGGCCAGTTAGGAGCGACCAGGCCAGCAGGGAGGGGGCAGTTAGGAGTGACCAGACTGGCAGGGGGGACTATGAGGGATGATCAGGCTGGCATGCAGAGGCAGTGAGATGCTATCAGGCTGTCAAGGGGGGCAGTTAGGGGCGACCAGGCAGGCAGGCAGGTGAGCGATTAAGAACTAGCGATCCAGGATTGTGAGAGGGGTGTCTGACTGGATCCCCAGGATTGGGCCTCAACCGGCAGTCAGACATCCCCCGAGTGGTCCCGAATTAGAGAGGGTGCAGACTGGGCTGAAGGGATTCCCCACTTCCTGCATGAATTTCATGCACCAGGCCTCTATTATAATAAAATGGGCTAAAGCTAATAATTCTTGTACTTATGTGTGCTGTGTGCTCTCTCACACCTCCATTTTTCCCCTTTAGGATAGAGGGGGTTATTGCTTAGTGATATTTCATGCGAGAAAATCTATATGTTGCAAATTCAAGATGATCCATTATGTGATATAGTTACCCCCGACTGAATAAGCAGACCATGTCCTTAGTGAGGGAAATGATGATCTTTAGCGCTGCTGTGTCCACTTAGTCTGTGTAGAGCACGTAGTATCTTGGGAAAGAATACTGAGATGATCAGGGAGTCTTAAAATTGTATCGAGAACTTTATAAGCACCCAATTTGTTTAGCATAAAGAAAACAAAATTGGGCTAGGAGATCATTTCACTTTTCTCTTCAATGTTTGAATGTCTGTCTTAGAGTATCTAGAGTAACCTAGTGAGTGAAAGTTACAGGGACAGATTTTGTCTAAGTGTAGGAAAACAAAATAGAAGACTTGATGATGGGATAAGCTGTTGTCTCTGGGAAAATGCAACCTTCAGTCAGGGTTGGGGGTAGACACTGGGTGGATAGTGGGATGTGGGTTAGGTTGTTTTTTGTTGTTGTTTGTGTGTGTGTGTGTGTGTGTGTGTGTGTGTGTGTGTGTTTCTCCAACTTTATAAATATATTTTAGTGAATTAGCTAAAATAAATTTAGTGAAATATTTAGTCAAAACTGATGCCCCCTTTTTTTTAAAATATCAGACTTAGATATAATTGCCATAAAATGTAATCCTTGTCTCAAACCAGGACTTTTGTGGTGCTTACACAAGGCACTATAATTGCCAAAATTACTTACTTCCAGTTGGTTCTCCACACTTCTTTCAGAGTAATTATTACCAAATACTAGTCTTTTCATACCGCCTCCCTGCTTACGGCACAGTCACTCTGCGTTCATTTTAGGATAAAGCTGCCCATTCTTAACATGCACAAAGTGCACAAAGTCCAGCAAGGTCTACCGCTACCTGCTTCTCCCAGTTTTATATTACATCACCCTCCGTTTCCAATTCAACCATGTCGGCCTTCTAGTAATTTCTCAAGTGCACACTGTGCTCTCATTTGCCACATATCAGTTGTCATGCTATTGTTTTTTCTGCATGGATGGCCTTCTTATTCTTAGATGACGCCTGCTGTCACCCTCCAGGCCTGGATTCATTTTTAACTTAAGCAAGGAAGTGTTTTCTAACCTTCCTACTGAGATCTCATGTCCCGTCACACATGCTCATACTCTGCATTTCTCATTCACACCATTGACCACTGTTACAATTTACATTTGATTATGTAACTATTTGATTCAATATCTGCTTTTCCTGCTAAAATATAAGCATCCAAAGGCATGTTCTGTTCTTAGTTCACTGTTGAACCCCTGGTGTCTTGCCATATGTGCAAATCACACTGAATGTGTTGAGTGAGTAATGTAAGTGGAACACTTCCTATAAAGTACTAAAGAGAACATTTAGAGAAAGAATGGGATATGGTGATCCTAAGGCGATAAATTTATCTTATATAGTGCTTGCATTTTTAAAGACTTTTTTCCCCCCACAAAAGTCCTAAAAGCTAAATATATTACATTATATTAACTTTACAGATAAAGACATTTTATCTTTGTCAACTTTACAGACTAGGGTAGTTAACCAGATCAAGACTCATAGTTATTAAGTAGAAAATTTAAGGTAAGAAACCATGAGTTTGAGATTTTTAGAAAAATAACCAGCCACTTGATATACCCAGGTGTTATATTCATCACTTACTTCAAATGGCATAGTGTCTTACAATTTTTTAAAATAGGACTGTCTTAGTTTGGGCTGCTATAACCAAATACCATAGACTGAGTAGCTTACACAACAAACATTAATTTTTGACGGTTATGGAGGCTGGGGAATTCAAGATCAAGGTACCAGCAGACTCACTGTCGGGTGAGGGGTCTTTTCTTGGTTTTCAGACAGCCATCTTCTTGTTGTGTCTTCCCATGCAGAAGAGGGAGGAGCGCTCTGGTCTCTTCCTCCTCTTTAAGAGCACTAATCATAACATGGGTTCTGCCTTCATGATCTTATCTAACCCTAACTACATCCCTAAGGCTCTGCCTCCACATGCCCTCGCATTAGGTTTCCACATGTTAACTTTGGGGCACAAACATTCCGTCCATAGCAAGAACTAAGCTATGTTTTATTAATATCTATCTAAATTATAGTTATAGTTTTAAAAATTACATATGGTATTCTCCATTATATTTTAGAGACCTTGACAGGTAGGATTTTAAATGAGAAAGTAACACTGCCATCTAGTGACAACTAACCCGAATGAAATTTGAAAACTAGACTAGCTGGTTAAGGTCCCAAGGAATGGTGAAGCAAGTTATTCCCAGGGAGTGGGAAGGGCACATAAGTTAGGCAGTCATTTCTTTTCAGAAACCATTTGAGGCAGCTTATTCTTAAGGAGGTCATGGATGAATAATAAACAAAGCAGATGCCCTGGTTTGTAGAATGTTACCCAGGTAGTAAGCTGATGATTGTGCCACTTTGCTTTGATCTGTCTCCATTTTCCTCACTCTCGCCACAGCTTCTGAATGAGGGAATTTGTACTCTGATAACCTAACAAAATATTTTCATCTTAGTTGAAAGAGCTAAGCACATTCAAGAACAAACATAGATGAAGAAATGAGTCCTTGGTAAAATTTCTGGTTAGATTTTGCAGCATCTAAAGGAAGAAGTGGAATGCCAAAATAAACTTCATCTGTCCCAAGGGAACACTTAGAGCCACTTGGAATTAAATTGCTGAGTGATTTAATGTAAACAACATAATAAAACACTCCAGAGACACAAAAATAGTTAGAAAATGAAGTATAAGAATTTTCTTTAATGTATTGAACCATAAGGAAATTTGGATAACTTATTTGTATCTCTTAAGTCCTAAATTTAATATGGTAGACTTTTAGCTGATGTATTTTAAGTGAATTATTGTCCTGATACATTAATATTGCTGGAAAAATATTATCTAAAATTCCTTGAGATAATTTTTTTTTTTATGTACAGAAGCCAGGTCAAAAGATATAAAAATTATTCTTTTTCTCTGGAGGCCTAAATAACAAAAACCCATCATTTTCAAAGGATAATTATATTTCTGATCAAGGTGAGAAAATTATACTTAAAATAGTCTGTAGAGGATTATTCTATTTGTCCAGTTACTGGTACATATAATGAACATTCTCCCTAAGGTGTTCTGACTTATAATGTAGAAATAGCCTAACTGGAAATATTAAATTTTTTATATAAGTCAATGAAAATTATTGGTTTTCTGACACTACTTATTACCTGGTTTCCCCTTCAGGAATAATATTTCATATACTGACAATAAAGAATGTGTAATAGACTTGCTATTTCACCAAGAGTTAAGTTGGAAATCTCAGGGCATGAACCATTTTAAGATTAAGATAAGAAAAGCATCTGAGTTGCACTTATTTCTTAGCCAATATCCTTAAAATAATAATGTTATGTTTATTTCTGGAAAAGTGTACAGATATGACCTTGTCTCTTGTTTTCATGTGATAAACTATTCATATGAAGACTGTGGGTAGTACCAGACAATAGCAGATGACAATCTAGCAAGAATTGGATTAAAATTAGTTGCCAAAAAGCATTGCATCAATACTGAAGAGGGGACAGATTTTTTTTTTTTTGAAAAGTGTGTTGTACAATGTAGTTTTGATTAGCTTTGCATGAGACACAGCTGATCTGGGACCTCTCCTAATTTGGGGTCAGGGTCAAACTCTAGAGTTGTGCTGACGATGAAACCTGAAAGATGGGTAATTAGTAAGGTGTAGAGCTTACAGGCAGGTGGTGGTGTGGAAGGGGGCTCAGAATGTTCTAGAGAGAGAATGTCAACTGCAATTAGAAAGAAAACTTAAATATATAGAGAAAACATAAACACAAAGCTCGGTTTGAAGTTCTTGGTATTTAATCGACGAACAGAGGATTCAACACTGCAGTAGTGTGGAAGTGAAGACTATATGGAGGCTCTCTAGGACTCTTTTTTTAAAATATATATATATATTTTATTGATTTTACACAGAGAGGAATTGAGAGGGATAGAGACTTAGAAATGTCGATGAGAGAGATACACCAACCAGCTACCTCTTACACACCCCCTACTGGGGATGTGCATGCAACCAAGGTACATGCCCTTGACCGGAATCGAACCCGGGACCTTTCATTCCGCAGACCGACGCTCTAACCACTGAGCCAAACCGGTTTCGGCTCTCTAGGACTCTTGAACAGCATGAACAGCATGGTGGGGCAGAACAAGAAATGGACTTTGTGCTGGAAGAATGTACTCATCCAGAATAACAGTAGTAGAAATGAGAGGTCTAGCTTTTATGGCAGGGCTGGAGCAGAAATAAACCAGTTTCTCTTAGGGTTTTGGTGAGGGGAAAGTGGGAGGTTATTCAACACTCTGGGCATTTACCACAATCCTTAAAGGGAGCAGGGTGAGGTCTGCAGCATGTTTGCAGTGTACCCGTGCCTTTGGCTGTGTTTTGACCCTGGCTTTATTTGTTCAGCTAGGATTGTGTCTAAGCAGAGCCTCCGCATCTGTTCTTAACCTCAACTGCAGCCTCATCCTGTTACCCATGTGCCGGACACTCCTGGCTTACCTTCGAGGATCCCAGAAGGTAAGAAACATAGAATTCTAGTCACAGGTCGCAGCATACAAATCCAGTGCAACAGCAGCAGGTTAGTCCTGCTTAGTTCTCCTGGTCTGATTTTTTGCTAGAGCCATTGCTTCAGACATGACAGGGAAGACCATGTCACCTGCCAAGATGATTAGTAAACTATTCCAGAAAACAGCACTAAAGGCAGAGGGTTATCGAACAAATTACTAATGGTGACATCAAGTGCTATGCTAAGCATTTCTCATATTTAACTATGAAGGCTCACGGTGATTCTGTAATCAGGCATTGCAGATGCAGAAGCTGAGGAATAGAGGGTTTAAGTCACTGGAAGATCATGAGACCAATGAAAGGCAGAGCTAAGATCAGTCCTCATTCTGAGCTCTTTCCACAGTACTCTGCCTCATCGCAATCCTGTTTTTCATTTAGTTCAGTCCCCGAGAGCACACTCCAGCCCTGTGGCTTTTGAGCAATGCACAGAATGAGTATCAGTGTTGATGGCAATTTATCTCTTAAAATACATACCTGTTTTGAGCAACGTAATAGGCTTAGAAAATGTCTTGATTAAATAGTGATGTCATGTGTGGATATTTAGTGTAAAATGAAGGATTTAAGAGAACAAACAAGCACTTTGAAATTCTTTTTGTCAGTTATCCGCGCGCGCGTGTGTGTGTGTGTGTGTGTGTGAATGTGTGTGTGTGGTGTATGCTGTATTGTGGTCATTCCTTTCTTCTCTAAGATGGTAAGACACTGCTGCATAGATACTGATATTTGAAAAGTAGTTGTAAATGTGAGGTCACTTTGCTGTCCTGTGAACTTTATATGACTGGATTTATTACAGTAATACTGCTCAACCTTTCCATGTGATTACATTTGGAAACTCTACTTTTAATGTGGCAATTTGTGGAAATAACTCTTGGTTGCCTACCACTGTAAAATGTGGGTTGTGATCTCTGCGGCTGGCTTTTGGCTCAGCATGAAGAAAAAGGAGACAAATGGCAGGAGATTACAAGTGCCCGTCTAAGTCTCTCAGTATTTAATGTCTTAAAGAATTTTCCCTGAGTGTGAAACAAAGTTATTCAAAGATGGTTGACATTTTATTTTTCTTAAGATCAAACAAGCATTTGAATGAAATTTATTTCTTTTAAAATATAACCTTTCTTTATTTTTACTGCAAAAGGAAATCATATATATAGTGAAATCCAAAAATTCCAGAAATATCTGAAGTAATCAGTGAAGGTTTCCCCTAGCATTTCTCCTTCAGGACAACCGCTGATTACAATTTGGGGTAAATATCTACGGATAAGTTAACATAGAATGCTACTAATTTTAAACAATATAGGATTTTATGTTTTATAACTCTTACCTAACAATAAATCTTACACATTTCTCAATATCAATAATAAGTCTGCTTACATTCTGTTTAATGGTTTGACTGTTCCCTTGATTAGCTTCTATCATGTTTCTAAAACACTGATATTAGCCGGGACCGGTTTGGCTCAATGGATAGAACATTGGCTTGGGGACTGAGGGGTCCTGGGTTCGATTCTGGTCAAGGGCATGTACCTTGGTTGCGGGCATATCCCCAGTAGGGGGTGTGCAAGAGGCAGCTGATCGATGACTCTCATCGATGTTTCTAACTCTCTATCTCTCTCCCTTCCTCTCTATATAAAGTCAATAAAATATATTAAAAAAAATAAAACACTGATATTATAAAAATGCTGTAGTGAAAAGCTTTGCACACATACATTATTTAATGCATCATTTTTACAATAGTAAATGGTTGTCGTTTAGGTTCCAAGCAGGAGAACCAGAAGGTTGTTGGATAAAAGCAGAACATTCCATATCATCTGTGGTGTTACTATCTGTATTTTCTCAGGTGAGGAAACCAAAAGCTGTTAACTATTATGTTATAATCATATTTTATAAATGGTATTTTTAATTATTCTATAAATTATTTACTGTCACAAACTCGTGATTTTCTTAATACTTAAGCTTAATTTTCTTTTCCATGTTTTTAAAGAGGGTTGTCTATTGGTGCTACAAAAAATGTGTGTCTTATGCTAAGTTTGACCTCCAAGCTGGTAATGATTGTTTCCTAGAGGTAAATAATTTAATTTAAAAAAGATGGAAAGAAGCAAACTAAAAGTTTTTAAGCTCTACAACTAATGATATAATAGGAGTGTAACTGCAGCAAAATTGGATTGAAAAATGTAAATTCATTCAGTGCGATACCACCCAAAATTTTATTTGATAAATATTTCTTTGAAAATGATACTTACTTAGAAGAGCATATTTCAGAAACTTGTGGAAATTGATCCTGCTCAATTCTAAGTTGAAATATAAAGTGAGAAACTTTTTTTTAAAGAATCATTTTAAAATAAATATTTATCCTGAGTATTTATATAATACTTGAAAATACTTTGGAGCAGAAAGTAATAAATATATGACTTAAGTGCATAGACTCTGGAAATGGATTATGTAGGGTTTATCCCCAGCTGCCCTTCTGCTCAGAGAACATGCGTATGAAGTTCTTAGGGTAGAATTTGTTATGATAGTTTACAGTCTGAGGGGTAATTATCTCAGTGGCATAGCCCCTGACATTTTTATCTGGTTGTTATTTGTAGAATAGATCTATTTTGGTGCTAGGGACCTTTGGTCTGGATAGTTATGTAAGGCAATTTTGAACCAGGAGTGTTTGGATACAGCTATTACCAAGATATATTAGACTTTAAGCTTTTTAATAATTACCAAGCATTTCTTCACTTTCTCATTCCTGAACATCTATCTTTCCATTGGTAGTTGCCTCCTTTGGAGGTGAGAGATGGAGAGAGGCTCTGGGATGGGATTAGAACTCCGATACAGCCATGTCTAGGGATGGAGTACGCATCAGGAAGAGATGGGGGCCAAGGGTGTGATAAGGGTTAGGGATGGATTAGAACTAGCGAAGGGGATCATGAAACACTGGCACATTCATAGCTTCATTTGTTCTCAACCATACTTGCATTCAAATATTTTGGTTCAGTTGCAGAATAACCTCTACTAAGGTGGTGTAGAGTATTGCCATGAATGAGCATGTCTGCATTCTGCCCCTGTCTAGTGGTCTGACTTAGCTAAATTATTGTTCTAATCTTAGTTTTCTTATCTGTAAGATAGGGATGATTCTACTTACCTCACTGTTTTATTGTTAAAACTAGAAGCCTGATGCATGAAAATTCATGTTAGAATGGGCTTTCCTTTCCTTTCCATTCCAGCCCATCCCCTTTCCACTCAGGCCCCAGAGCCGCCTCTTTTCACTCTGGCCCTGCCTTCCTATGCTGCCCAGGGGCCCTAAGAGACCAGGGTGGGACAGAATGCCCCCATCACTCGACACCTGTGTATGCAAATTAACCACCATCTTTGTTGGGTTAATTTACATATCACTCCTGATTGGCTGGTCGTGTAGTGGAGGTACAGTCAATTTACATGTTTGTCCATTATTAGGTAAAATGACTAAAATTAGAAGCTTTTAATTCTTTTGACCTAAAAGGCCTTATAAAGAAGGAGAATGTATCTCATACAGATACCATCTAGACCTTATATTTAGGAGAATTCAGAAAGAATGGCTATTCCTCAAAGGAAGCCTTTATGCTTTTGACCATTAAGTATGTAGTTAACGTATAAATCTTTAATTTTAAATAAAGGTAATTTTTTTACTATTAATTTCTGAAGTGCTGAAGCCATAGGAGATAGTTTTGCTTAAATGATGTTTTAAATCTGTGCCAAAGTTGAGGCTCACTTAAATGTTCTTTGTTTTATATATTTGAAACTTTGCCATTGCTTGTTAATTAATCCACTTTTGTTCTCTGATCACCTTTTTGTTGCTGTTGTTAATCCTCACTTGAGGATATTTTTTCATTGATTTTTAGAGAGTGGGTCCCAGATTGGTGAGGGTGCAGGCTGGGCTAAGGGACATTCCCCAGCCCCCGTGCATGAATTTCATGCACTGGAACTTTAATATATATATATAATCTTACCTCTAATACATAATCTTGACTTACAAAGGTTCTTTTATTTTAGCCTTTGAAAATTCAGTTTCTTTACTTGATTTTTAATACTGAAACTGTCTGTAATTAAGATTGCTTGTGTCTTTAAAACTCCCTTTTAAATTTAAAATTTTATTGTTCATGAAGCTGTCAAAGTTTGATCCGGTATTTACTTAGAGGGAAGAGCTGACTCCTCTTCATAGAACATTCCTGAAAATTCACCCCACTGATTCGTGCCTGGTGCAATTCTGTAGGTGTGCACGTGGCTGCCCACCTGGTGAATGTCCTCAGTTTCTCAGAGAACTACCGCGAGGATTTCCTTGAACTGAATGTAGCAAGATACCGAGACGAGGTGGGTGGTGTCTGTCTCCTCATTTGTCTTCCACTCATCATGAGATGACTAATGAGGGCAAGCCATTTTCACAGAAAATTTGTACCTTACTGCTTCTTTTGAGTGCTCTTAAATGCAGCTGTCAACTTGAGTTTTATTCCTTTTGCATTGGAAATAGAGGTAATTAATGTTTTGCAGGCTCCTCTGCTGGAAATGGGAGTTGGGCGAGTGTCTGCTCTTTTTGATGGGCAGAGCTCAGATGGTTGCCACTCAAGCCTGCCTTTTGCCTCCCAACAGCTTTTGTCTAATTCCTGTCATGCAGTGGGGACTGTCCACAGTGCCATTCTAGGGTAACAATCCTTAACTCAGAAACTATGCTTGGGGGAAATAGGGCAGAAAAACAGGTTGATCATTTGAGGGTCTTGGATAATCAGGACATTATTGAGTTTTTTTGTTTTTTAATAAATATATTTTTATTGATTTTTTTATAGAGAGGAAGAGAGAATAGAGAGTTAGAAACATCGATGAGAGAGAATCATTGATCAGCTGCCTCTTGCACACACCCCACCGGGGATGTACCCGCTACCAAGGTACATGCCCTTGACCGGAATTGAGCCTGGTACCTTTCAGTCCGCAGACCGACTCTCTATCCACTGAGCCAAACCGGTTTTGGCCATTATTGAGTTTTAATGATTCATTCATTGGTTTTGTTTTTTAATCCTCAAAACAGGTGACCTTGAGCTGAATTCTGTGGCAGACAATACCTGTCTTAGGAGTGCCTTTCTCCATGTGCAGCTGCCCATGAAATGAAATTATGTGTGGGAGGGGCCAGGCCAGAGCCTGATGAGCAGCATATGCACAGCCCTGGTTAGATCTCTGTTGCTCAGTATTTTCATCCTGTCCTCGGGCTGCCCTTGCTTCATGCCAAGACAGCATTAAAACCCCACTGCTCCGTTTTCCATTTGACAGAACCCTCCCTGTTCTGCTAAGTCTGGTAGTGACTTAATGAGATATTCTCCTCTCACTCTCTTTTCTCCTCCACATATCACCAGTTTTAGCTAGATCTCATATGTTTGGCTCCTTCCCAAAACAAAACAAAACAAAAAAATAGCAAACAGAAACAAATCTCAAAACCGAAATCATAAGCAACCTTTGATAAATCCTTTGACTATAATAGTGTTTTTGAAGCCACCAGTATGATTTAATTGATCTGGTTTTGGGTCAGGAATTATTCTTTTCAAACTATATTTTTTATTATTTTCAGAGAGGAAGAGAAAGGGAGGGAGAGAGAGAGATAGAAAGCATCAATGATAAATGAGAATCATTGATTGGCTGCCTCCTGTACACCCTCTACTGGGGATCGAGCCTGGGCATGTGTCTTGATCTCCTGATTCATAGGTCGACACGCAACCACTGAGCCACCCCGGCCAGACAGGCATTGTTATTTTTAAAGAGCTCACTGGATGATTGTAGTGTGCAAGAACCACTGGAAAGTCCAGCTTTATAGCAAGACAATGGAAGTTCTTGCATGTAATGAATTCAGATCAGAGTCACCACTTCCTCATTTACCATCACATCCATCCAACCCTCTGTCCTCTGCAATTTCCTGTTTTAACTTTGCCTTCTTTGCTTCTCTCTTTTGTTTTATAATTCATATGTCTTTAATAACTATACTGCTAATATTTTTTTTAAAATGTAATATAATTTTGTTTAATATTTTAATACATGTAGTCATTAATTTTATTTTTTATTTTAAAAGAGATATATGCTCAGTGTAAAATACTTTAAAACTCCCACGTACATGAAAAGTAAAGCTTTTCCTCCCAAAATAGCCACAGTTAATAATTTTATGTTTTCTCTTAAGATATTTTAAATGGTATTTTATGATCCAGATTTCTCAGCAATTTACTTGTTTCCATAAATATATGTAATGTGGCTTGCTATATTAGAAATATATCTTATTCCCTTCTTATTAACAGGCTATTATATCTTTTTAGCCTTTTCCTTATTCACAGATGTTTAGGTTGATTTCTAGTTTTTCTATGATTTACTCGCCAATAAATTATTATTATTAATATTATTATTATTATTATTTTTGGTACATTACTGCTAGGCATTTTTATAGAAGTAGCATTTGGTTTCAAAGGCATACTCATTTTTAATTTTCAATGGACATTGCCAAATTTCCTTTCAAAAAGGCTTCACCAGTTGATACACTTTTACCAGGTTTATCAGAAGGCTTATTTCTACACCTCACTTAAAAAAACAATACCACAAAAACATTTAGCCAAACTGATGGATGAAAAAAGGTAACTAATTGTTTAAAATTTATATTTCCCTTTTTTTTAGTTCCTTCCTTCCATTGTCCCATTTTATTTCCATTTCCTCTTTTTTAAAATAAATATTTTTTATTACCTTGTAGATAAAGGCAATGTGTGCTAGATAAAGATGAAAACTACACACACAAATGTTGCATGAAAATACAGATATATTCTTCTATGAATTGTCTCTGAAAAGAATAGGTTTGTGCCCTTCATCTATTGTTCTTGCTTTCTGCTTTCACTCTGCCTCCTCCAGGTCTTCAGTGATACATACTTGAACTTGTGATGCTGGCAAATTCTTGGCCTAGTTGAATCTGCCTCATCTTGTCATCTGTGAAACCAACTTTTACTCTCACATTCCATCTTTCTTCTATGGCCATATTAATTGTTCCATCTTCTGAGTTCCCATAGCTGTTTATCCCACTTCATTCAGCTCATCTTCTATTTTTAGCAGTTGTTTAACATTGGGTTGCTCTATGTTACTCTTTAGCCAGGTGTAGAAGGCAGTTGACCTAAGCTGGATCAGGAGCTATTCCTAAGCCAGTGGTCCGTATTCAGTGCCCCTGGAATTATATCTTACAAAGCCTTCCTTCTTTGTAAAAACCTGGCCTGATCCCAGACTCAGTGGAAGCATAGGTTGAAATTCACAAGTTGAGCAATATCAAGCACCATTAGGCTGAAAAAAATAAATAAATCCACAAATTTACTGGGGATTAATCTAAGTTTCCCAGAAGATAGAAAAGCAATTGATTAAGATTCATTACACTATGAGATAAGTAGTTTAAATAAAACACAATATTAATGCTTTATATTTTTGAGTAACGGGAACCTTTTTATCCTCACTACCTTTCATGATGTTTGAAACATAAATTCTCAATTAGTAGTCTTTGCACTAAATTTACAGTGTACCAACCCTTCCTGGATGTTTTATCACTTTTGAGTCCCACTGTCTTGATATATTGTAGGGGTAGTTTGGTAATCGTGGTATTAATGTTTCCACATTATAGCCAAAAATATTGAGTTTCAATTTGGTCAAAGAGTGAACTACAGCCCCTGGCTTTTCATTAGTCATCAAGTTGAAGCTTAAGCCTTTGCATTCCTCATCCTCTCATTTCTCAACTCAGAGATGGATAGACTTCTCTAAGTTGAATTTGTACTTGTTATAATCTACTTTAGCATCATGAAACCATTATGAAACTTGATGGGAGAATAGTATTTTAAATAATTAATACATGCATCTTATACCTAGCCCAATTCCTTATAGAATGTGATATTATCAATGTTTTAACTTTCATTCAAATATTTCCCCCCCCTTTTTCTCAGGATCCTAGAAAACTTCTCTTCACAAGTGGTAAGTTGTTATTCATTGCTCTTTCTTAAAATTCCGGAACATTTTTAAAAATACGCATCATAAAATTGTATGACAATTAGATGTATGTTAAAATATAATATATAGACGTATGCATATCAGAACAAATATTAGGAAGAGTTCAAGCATAAAGTTGCAATGACAACAAAGGGACAAGGCAAGTAGTTGAGGTTAAAATGAAGAGCAAGAGTAAGCAAATGCATTTGTTTTTCATATATTCTCTCAATGAAAGCAATATAATGCCATATGCTTATTGAGGACCTGCTTTGTGCACTCTGCTGTGGCAAGTACTGTTGGAGATAATACATGTGGAATAAGTTCCTGATCTCAAGGTGCTGGAAAGGAACATCAAGCACTCTGGGCATCATTGTAGTTCTGATAATTCAGTACTTTAGTAGGATATTTTACAATATTAAAACCCATAAAACAGAGGAGAAACAGTCATCAGTTATTTTTCTTGTAATGTGTCCCCTTTTTTATTTGTAATTTACTTTTTCTTCTGAAGCATATTGTCCATGAAATCTCAGTCTAGACTGTTAATTTGTTATTCAAACCACATATGAATATCCAAAAATTTACTATGATTTTAGTAAAATTCATACCAAAATTCTTCTCTTTACAACTTTACATTTATACTGAAAAAGGAGAAAACTGTATTTTGGAGGATTTTTTAGTACATATTCCAGGGATTAGGACTTGTGGGTAGTTGAGATGGATAAAGGCTTGGCTATAACACCCTACTAAGGATCAGACTTGTATATAGAACTGAGGCATGGCCCTGTCAAATGCATTATTTTTCTTTTCATTAATTTTATGATGAAAAAGAACAAGTAATCAGGTGCTTCCCCATCGTGTCACAATTATATGGATGGTTAGATTTATAAAATACTAGAGGCCTGGTGCAGAAGTTTGGGCATGTGTAGGGTCTGGCCCACCATCCCTGATAGCAGCCCATTGGGCTAGACGGGGAGGGGTTGCAGGCAGTTGGTGGCTGGCCCTGCCCCTGATTGGGGTGTTGGGGGCCCACTGGGGGCCAAGCCAGCTGGAGGCTGGAGGGGGGATGATCAGGGCCCAGATCAGGCTAGTTGGCTTCTGCAGTGTGCGTCATAGCCACCAGTTGTTCTGGTCATTCAGGTCATTCTACCATTCTGGTCACTGGTCTTTATATATATAGATATTTTATCTCTGGCTTATGATATTTGCCCCTTGCAAAGTATTTCACCTTTTTCTTTTTAGGAATGCAATTTAGTTTTGTTTACAACTTTGCTCATTGAAACATGGTTTTATTTAAGTCCTAAGAATTGCATGAGAAATAGAGGGGAGAAAAAGCAGAAAAATAAAACCTTATGTGTGAATCAATATTTTTTGGTTCATGTGGAATAATGTAAAAGAAGTAAATATTTTGATATTATTTTCTGTAGCACACAGCATAGTTGAAGCCTTGGAACATTTGAAATGTTTTAAAAAACTTAGTTTACAAAGATATAAAAATGTTCTTAAATGATAAAGATGTTCCATTAAGATACTTAGTATAATTAATATGTCTATATAAACAGGTGATCTTTCCACCTATGCATGAAACCCCACCACCTCTGCTCTTTCCCAGAGATTTTCATGAGTGGTGTTGGATTAAATAGAGACGATATTTAAAAATACAAATTTCCTGGTTCCAGTCTAGAGAGTCTGTTGGGCTGGGACCTGGCAATGTGCTTTATTAATCTTCCTATTCACCTTGGGAGCTTCTGTTTTACCCTGATGGAGCATCTCGACAGTCCTCTTGAGCATAACTTCTCACTGTCACCTACTCTCTTAGCTTATTGTCTTTTTATTACCTGGCCAACTCCTACTCAACTTTTAAATCTCAGCTGCCTTGCACAAATTCCACTAGGCAGAGCTGGCCTCTTCTTGGTCTAGGTTTCTAAAGATACCTGGTAAAAATATTATGTTGTCAAATAATTTATTTCCTTACATATTGCTGTCTTTTCCACTTGAACATGAGCTTTTCCAGGGTGGGACAGTGCTGTCTCAAGGGCATGCCCAGGACCCAGGCAAATATTTTTGTGGAGTTTCTGTCAGTGCAAACCACATGCATCACCCAAAATCAGCATGTTAAAATCATTTGGTGTCTCAGTCCACATCATTTAATGAAAACAAGCCATCCACTTCCCAGGGGTTCAGCTTGGAATGAGGGTGGGACTCCCCTAAGCACGAGTCTAGAGCTCCTTGAGTTTCTGATTGACCCCACTGAATAGAAGCAGGTCAGAGAACAAGGCAGAATCTAAGAATAGTAATGGGATAAGTGACATTGCTTTCTACAAATAGGCTTAATCTAGTTTTGTTTTACTAATACATCTCTGTCTAAAACTATTTTATAGCTATCTTTGAATTTTGTCAGGCATAACGTCTCAAAAAAATTTAGTTCCTGATGAAGAACTGCATACATGCTTTCAGCTGTTCTAGTGATAAAGAATTCTTTTTATTGATTGACATATTTCTTGGATTTTAATTTGTTTAATGTTACATAGTCTTTTCTCTCTCTATCTTTAAAATTTTTCAATGTAACCTAGGTCTGAGAAATTAAGATTATCTTATAAAAAATAAAGGCAGTTCGAGTGACACAAAATATGGTATAGACTCACTAAATTAAAATTTTTTTTAAATATTTGAAGAATTTAAGAAATAAAATAAATTTAAAAGATTAGATTACTCAAACATTCACTTAAAAGGTATGTACACATATAATACCTTAATGAAAAAATGAGAAAATAAATAAATAAATAAATAAATAAATAAATAGAATTTAGAATTTAGAATTTAGAACAAAGGAAAAAAAATACTTAGGTACCTATCACCAAATTTGGTAAATGCACAATATCCAATTTATATTAGAAAAACTCTTGTAAACAAATATAATTATTATTCTAGTTGGAAAGAACAGGGTAATAAATACAAGATGCTATATTGCTGACCACATCTGGATATGAATGAAAATTATCTCTTAGTTTCTTCTAGAAATGGCAGTATAGTGAAATAATTCATTTAAAGTCTACAAATTAATGGATCTAATATGCATAGATAAAAAGCACTAAGAATAAACATTCATACATTTATTTTTCTTTTATTTAAAAAATATATTTTATTGATTTTTTACAGAGAAGAGGAGAGAGGGATAGAGAGCTAGAAATGTCGACAAGAGAGAAACATCGACCAGCTGCCTCTTGCACACCCCCTACTGGGGATGTGCCCGCAACCAATGTACATGCCCTTGACCGGAATTGAACCTGAGACCTTTCAGTCCGCAGACCGACGCTCTATCACTGAGCCAAACCGGTTTTGGCTATACATTTAGTTTTTATTTTATTTTTTATACCTTTTTAAAATTAAATTATTATCTGCTTACATATTTTAACACCCCCACCCTCTCATATATACCCTCCCTCCCCAGAGTTTTGTGTCCATTGGTTTTATTTATATGCATGTATATAAGTCCTTCGGTTGATCTATTATCTCCCCCAGATCTCCCTTCCCTCCCCGCTGTAATTTGACACTCTGCTTGTTGCTTTACTGTCTCTATATCTATCTTTTGATTCATCAGTTTATAATGTTCTTTATTATCCATAAATGAGTGAGGTCATGTGGTGTTTCTCTTTCATTCACTGGCTTATTTCACTTAGCACATACATTTATTTTTTATGTTTTATTTTTACCAAAGAAACAAGTATAGGTTTTGCTCCATAAGTTGAAGGACTCAAAGAGTTCACAGTGTACTTCCACTTTGGCAAGTAACTTTGCCCAGTGAAGTTAGACTAACCCAATAATTTCCAACCTGTGCTTCCTGACTATTGGTCTATGTGAAGGAATAGAGGCTAATATTCTCAGCTTTAGCTAAACTGTCATTTCAGGCTAGGTTGGGGTAACCTTTGATGTACCTCAAAAACACATAATGCTTAGCTCTCTTTTAGCACATAACGCCCTCGTTACAATTACCTATGTGTCTCATCTCCCAGACTAGAATGTAGAGCAGGATTCATTTTTTCTCTGGTTCACTATAGAGGACCAGAAAATATTCACTGAAAGGATAAAAGACACTTGTTTAACAGAACTACTTGATGCATAGGCTTTCTCTACAATATCTTAGATAATTTTTGGCCAGACTCTATTTGTTTAATTCCAGTGACCAAAAAAAAAATCATAATTTCTTAAGATATCACCCAACCCCTTCTTTTGGATCATTCTAATTGCAATATTTTTTTTTTTTATTGCTAGGCTATAAGTTTTTCTTCTTCATTGACCCGAAGTATATCACTTTGTAAACTATAAACTCTGGCCTTTTTATACTTCCGGGAGATAGAAAAAAAGATGAATTTTTGAATTGATTGGCCCTAGTTTACAGATGGGATTCAGTGAGATCACAGTTTGGCTAAGGGAAGTAACAGGGGTCATGATGCCAGGATAAACATACCATTGCTCAAGGAGTCTGGGGTTTCCAGTTCATTTTTAAATGACTGAGGTCAACTTGTCTTACCCTCTCTAACTCTTTTGGATATGTTTTTCATCTTCTGTTGTAAAAGGAGTTCTCTAGTTAAATGTTTGAGGAAATATCTGTTCAAATTTAAACTGGTTTCTTGACTTGAGCATTTCTCAGAAACTTTAATACACTAATGTGCCCTGTGACTTCTCAAGGAATAGTTTTAAAATCCTTAAGTAATATATATTAATATCCCAAAGAATTAATGTTCCAATAATACACTTTGGAAATTGTGCCTCTATTTTAAACACTCTCAGTCCCCCCCCCCCTCAGGTGTCCTCTCCATGAAGTGGTTTGCAAACATTCCATAATTAATCTTGACATGTTTAGAACCACATAGGAAATCTTATATGTAAACACAGCAGACATTAGTGAATCTCTGGAATAATAAAATAATAAAATCACTGGAAAGGCCTTCAGCCACAAATTTCACATTATGGAGCCACCTGGGATTCTGTCATTTATTTATTTATTTGGTCAAATAGGACCTATTTTAATTACTTGAAGCAAGAAAGACCTCTTTTTTCTTAAAATTTATTGAATTATAATTGAAGTACATTAAATTATTCATATGTAAATTATGCTACTTTATTGGTTTTGACATATGTTTACACTTGTAAAATTATGACCAAAATTAGGGGAACAAACATATTATTCTAAAAAGTTTTTGTACCCCTTTATAATGCATCCTACCCTCTATCTATCCTAACAACTATCTGCTTTCTATTACTAAAGAATGGTTTGAATTTTCTCAAATTCTATGTAATAAAGAGGTAATATGTAAATTGACCATCACTCTAACACAGAAGATGGCCACCCCCATGTGGTCAAAGATTGCCACCCCCATGTGGACACAAGATGGCCAGCAGGGGAGGGCAGTTGGGGGGACCAGGCCTGCTGGGGAGAGCAGTTGGGGGGGACCAGGCTGGCAGGAGAGGGTATTTGGGGGCAATCAGGCTGGCAGGGGAGCAGTCAGGCATTGATCATGCTGGCAGTGGAGTGGTTAGGGAGTGATCAGACTGGCAAGCGGAAGTGGTTAGGGGCAATCAGGCAGGCAGTAGAGCAGTTGGGAGCCAGCTGTCCTGGATTGTGAGAGGGATCCCAGATTGGAGAGGGTGCAGGCTGGCCTGAGGGACCCCTCTTTTCCCTCCCCTCGCCCCTGCCCCCTCTCCATGCATGAATTTCATGCACTCGACCTCTAGTGTTATATAAAAGGAATCATAGAGCTCATATTCTTTTGGATCTGGCTTTTTTCACTCAGTATAATAGTTTTGTGATTCATCTATGTTGTGTATAAATCAACAATCCATGGTTGTTGCTGTTTTTGTGTGTGTATTTTACCACTGATTACTTTTCCAGGTACAGCTAATAATATCGTAATTGTTTATCCATTCATCTGTTGATGAAGATTTGAGTTGTTTACAGACCTTAACTATTCAAACTAAAATGCCAAGGAACATTTTTGAACCCATGTCTTTTGTGGATATATGTTTGTTTCTCTTGGGTAAATATCTTCAGAGTGGGAAGACTGGGCCATTTTGTAAGCATGCTGTTCTTTTTAAGTAGTATTTTTCTGAACTATTAGTTTTTTAGTGTAAACTAGTGTAGTTATCTTATCCCTAAGAAGTAAGTCCTCACCTGGGGCGATGGGAAGGTTGATGGGAAGTGGAGAGAAGAGATGGTTTGGATTAGGCACATGATCAGGAAAAGGCAAGTGTGGTTTGGCTTCCAACTTTGTGTAATGGGAAAAGTAGAGGAAAGAACACTAAAGATTTAATTATCCAAAGACTAAATTTCTTATTCCTCTTGTGGCCCTTTACATGTAGAAATTTATTTCTACTGAGATTTCTAAAATTTTCAAAGATCCTAACCCTCTGGAATCCTAATACAGTAATGTACTATATTGCTCTAATTTTGTACCCAGCTTCTCTGCTTCTGCTACAATCCATGATAGCCTTTCTGTTTCGTAGATGGTTCCTTGGCAAAACAGAGACGTGGGGAGATGTCTATATTTTTGGAGACAGAATTGTTTCATTAGCTTTTCTATGAAGCTTTAACATGAAATCTCTCAGCTAGGTCAGTTAGAAGTTACTGTTACTTATATGATTTTAAGAATAAATAAAGGTAATTTATAGATAGGCTTATTATATTTGGTAGCAAAAAGATAATATAGAATGAAAATATTTTGGTTTTAGCTCTTTTTGATATAGATATTGAGTTACTCATTTTTAGACATGCTATATGAGCTAACAATGGATTTGTAGCAATCTATCATGTCAATATTAATTTTAAAAACTAACATATTTGCACATTTAAAAAATGTTATATCATATTAGAAGGGCCGATTTCAGCAAGTTTTCCTACTAGAAGAAGTATTTCTGCAAATGTTCTGAAAACACCAGCTCTGTGATTCTTTTTCTTGAATTCTTTTTTTGTTTTATACTTGAAATTGTGGCTTTTAGGAATTTTTAGGTTTTCTTTAACATTTTTTTAACATTCATTCTAGATAAGAGGCCTAGAAGAAATTATTTGAAATTGAAATGGAAGGAGCTCCTAGTTAAATTAAAGAGGGGAGGAGAGAGTAGGTGTTTAGTGCCATAGTAGGGACAACCAAACCAGTAGGGTGCTGAATATCAATCATGTACCAAGTATTAATTACTAACAGTTAATATAGTATGTACCTGTAGAATTTTTGAAAATACAAAAACAAACCCTCTATTAAAGGTAGAAAGGACTATTTTGTATTAAGTTCTTTGAAATTGTCCTAATTTTAAAAAATGCTCTTTTGAGAGAAGGCATACAAAGGAGGTATCTGATTTGAATCGGGCTTCCCAGGGAGCAGCATAATACTTTGGATGTTAAGGCAATGATTTTTGTACTTTTTTCTCTCTCAGTATGACTTACTTTAACATGTACTCATGTACATTTTTATAGTTCCTGGCCTGACAGGCGTCTTAATGGTATTGGTGCTGTTCCTGATGATTACAGCTTCTACGTACGCTATCCGGTGAGTGTCAGAGGCACGGCCTCAATATTTATGGGTCAGATTATTTCATTTTCTTCAGGTTATCTTCATTTTCATGTGCAGAAAAACTCTTCCTTAACCAGAATGCTTAGCCAGTATAGTATTCCTATGAATAGACTATTGTGGGTAACTAAGAGTGATGTAAAGACATTTTTATATACATCTTTTCCTGTTTTGGAAAAAGAGAATCTCTGTTTTGGTCAAATAGTCTAGGTTGGTAAAGAATTGTGTATGGAGACTTTTTAAACTAAGGAAATCTAAGTTCTTCAGGGGCATTCTTCCTGGAGAATTGTGTGTCTATGATACATGGAATTGAATTCAATATGTATGCGCAGGAACATAGCACTTAAAATTGGTTTACAATTCATTTCCTGCTTATGAGTTTGTTTTTGCTGTAATTTAATGTAATATTCCAAACAAAGCTTTGGAGAAATAGTTGACATCTGCTAAAATAATCAGAAATATCTGCATTCACAGTATTTTTCTAGTTACGAGATTTTGAGCAATTGCAGACACACATTTTTATGAACACTTTCACATGTTCTTTCTGGTGGATACATCTGTTTTACACAATATTTTACAGTATCTTATGTTACTGGTGAAATTTCTTGCTTAAGAAAGCAAAAAAGAAGAAACTATATAATCTTCAAAAGTTGTCATTCTAATTTTTTTTAATATGCATTTTATTTATTTTTTTTTACAGAGAGGAAGGGAATTGAGATAGAGAGTTAGAAACATCGATGAGAGAGAAACATGGATCAGCTGCCTCCTGCAACCCCTACTGAGGATGTGCCACAACCAAGGTACATGCCCTTGACTAGAATCGAACCTGGGACCTTTCAGTCTGCAGGCCAATACTCTATCCACTGAGCCAAATCAGTTAGGGCTCATCCTAATTGTTGAGGTGTTGAATATAATGGAAACACACACACACACACACACACACACACACACACACACTATGAAAGTAATTGTCTCCCACACCATGCTCAAATGAGTCTATCTTTGCACTTCTGCACACATCTATGCTCACAAACGTACACCTCAAAATCTCACAAGCAAACTCACCAATCAGATTAATACTATAAACTTCCTGTTGTTATGTCTGTATACTTCATTCTTCCTGCTTTTGCTCACTCATGCCCCATGTCATACATCTACCAAAATCACTCTTTTTCTCTCCCTTTCACACTGTCTTTTCAAGTCTGCATTTTACCAAAATTGGACCATTTTATTATATGTGCTATTTTAAACCTGCTTTTTTCTTAAATCTTGTTATGAGCATTTTTCTCTTTACCAATGGCACAGCATATTACCAAATAGACATACATTACTCTCCCAGCCCTCTATCATTGTATGTTTCAGGTTGATTCCATTTTTTTAGTATTTCAATTGTGAGACAAACACACTCTCTGTAAGTCTTTGCATACTTTTTAATTATGTCCCATGGAAAAATTCTTAGATGGCGAATGGCTGAGTCAATTGGTCAGCCCATTTTTGTGACTTTTTATAAGACTTAAAAATCACCTTACAGAAAGACAAATCTCTAACATTTGTGCAGCAGGGTGCCAATTTTGTGGGAAAGATTTAATTTTAGTTAGGTCAATAATTAAAAAACTTACTTTTTCAGGATTAGGAGCTCTTGAAGAAAAATTAGGGTATCTAACATATTTACTTATAAGAATAAAGTATGTAAATGTCCTATATCTAGAAAAAAATTCTTAATTGAGAGATAGTGTTGTAGAAAGGAATATAAAGATCACCTTCTGTTCTCAACTAAGCCTTTACATAAATAATTTGGTGACTGTGTCTTCATTGTTAATGTTTTCATTTGTTTAAAAGAGATTATAAAGCTCTGCTTTTCTTCAAGCTTCTTTGTGAGAATCATGAAATTCTTAAATAGATCATGGAGATAATCTTTTACCTTTTCTCTTTACTAGTAAGGAAATAAAACATTAGAGAAATTAGGTGAATAAATATGACTTCACTATTTGATTTCTGGCATTGAATGTAGTCTAATAATTCACCAAATGGTTCAATTGTTAATATAAGTAATATATTCTAACAAAGAACAATAATACAAACATATTTTCTCATCTCAAGAGACTTAGAAATAGCAGTTGTTAAATCTGAACTCTCATTAGGGTTAACTAAAAGTCAACTTTCTTTTTGAATGAAAAATTATAAAGGCCAGAACTGAGTTCATACTTACAGTGAAATATGAGATACATTCCTATGAAAATTATGAAACCACCAAAGTGATGTTTTTAATTTCTTTAAAGGATGGCATTATGATAAGAAATTAAACATTTAGAATTATTAAATTCTAAATTAAACATTTAGAATTATTAGAAAGAAGGCAACAACAAATTATCATTACTTCCAGAAAGGTAGGTATAATTGCCTAGCCAGAAAACTCAAGAGAATTATGGAAAAAAATTTTTATATCATCTAAAAGAGTTAAAATGGGTAAATGATTACAAAGCATATTTAAAAATAGCTCATATAATAGCTATTATAAATTTGAAAATTGAGTAAAATAAAAAGATAGCACTGATAATTTTAATATAAATAAAATATCTACAAATAATTTTATGAAGAAACTAAGTGAAAGTTATATAGAAAGAACACAACCTCACTGAGAGAAATCAGTAGAGATTTGAATAAAGACTATCTAATGTAAAGATGCAGTTCTTCCTCAATTGTTTTATAAATTTGTTGCAATTCCAGTCAAAATCCAAGATAGGTTATGCTGTTTGCTTATTGAATTTAACAAAGTGATTCTAAAGTTCATCTGAGGGAATATCTAAGCATGTGTTCCAAAAGAGGAATAAAAGGGGGTATGTGGCTTACTAGACATTAAAATTATAAAGCTTCCTTAACTATAGAACTTGCAAAAATAACCAAGACATTGAACCAATGATAGAGATGATAGAAAGCCTTGTTAAGACACTTTGTTTTGTATAAGAACCTACTAATAAAGGTGCCATCACAAACTTATGATGAAAATAAAGAGTAAGTGAATGAAATCAACATAACTTAGCTATTAAAAAATGACAACATTAAAATTTTAGAAGAAACTTTAAGTCTCTATCAGATCTAATGGACAAGAAAAATATTGAAAATATCTGACTTTTCAAAAAATAGGTAAACTAAAGCAACACATGTTATAAAATATGAAATGTAACATGTTATTTGACAAATTATTATAGTTAAATGAAACTACTACAGTCTTAAATTTTGAATAGTGTACTCATAAAAATTAAGGAAAATTCACTATAGAAATGGATAATTATTATGAATTGATAAGTAATAGAATTAAAAGTGTATAACACACAAATGAAATAATTCCACTTACACAAAATAATAAAAACTTATAAAGTTGAATATGGGTTTAAAGAAAAAGGAACTCCTAAAGTTGGATTTGTAATTGATAAACATGTTTTCAGAGAGCAATGGACAATGTGTATAAAAAACATTGCATATGTGTATCTTTGATCTAGCAATTCCACTCATAATTATGAAAGAATTAGATATGTGCAAAAGGCATATGTGACAAGGTTGTTAGTGACCTTGTTTGTGATAGCAGAAACCGAATTAAGTAAGTGTAAATCAATTGGCCATTGCTTACGTCAAGAGTTCTAAAAGGATCTAGGGGTTGAATCAGAATCCTCTCAGAAGTTTTTACAAATATCTACCCTCCACCGCTAAGATTCTAATATAGTAATATCTTCCCAGACATATGAAATAAAGTTACTGTTAGTTTTTTTTTTTTACTTGTCTCAAACATTCAATAGATTGTGTTATTCAGGCTCTTTGTTTTCCTGCAGGACAGAAGCACCAAGGTTGTACATTGTCCAGGAAAAGAATATAAAACTTTAATGATCATTTACTTAATTCCTCTCAATTTGAATTTTCTTTAAACTACTCTAAATATTTATTGTAATAGGAATATTAGTTGTTTTTGATGTCATTTAAAAATTGAGAATATCTATAGAAAGGACAGCAAATAGACATAGGAGCTGAGTATAACTGCTCCTTAGCCTTACATCATATCTTTAAAGTAAACTTTATTTTAACTTTTTTATGTCTTTATTTCAAATACAAATATATGATAGTGTTATGTATAATTTTTGCCAGTTGTCTTTGCATGGTAAGTCCTTTGACATAATAGATAAATCTAAGATGAACTCATATTTGAACTTTCAATTGTGACATGTTTGAAATGCACACTCTTTTCAGTGAGATGAAATATGAAGTGGCATTGAAACTAAGTTATTTGTGTTCTTTTTCAGAGTTTCTAACTATGATATCTTCTGGTACACTCATAATCTCTTCTTTGTCTTCTACATGCTGCTGATGTTGCATGTGTCAGGGTAAGTTATAAAAAATATTTTTTTAAAGCCATGTGTGTCTAAAAATGTGGTAATGAAAGATACATTTGCAGGAACTTTCATTGGGAGTGGTAAATTATTTGGTTACTTAGAATTGAGGGTAGTGTCAAGAATGGAAGAGATACCTTTATTTTTAGCATAGCATGTTTAATGGAACTAGTATAAAACTATATTAAAATTGAGAAACAGAGTTACTTTTCCCTTGGTGTTATAATTTTTAAAGCCCCTGTAGCTACATCCTGATAACTTTTTTAAAAAAGAAAATAAGAGGTAAAGAGTTTCCAGAAGATATTTTAATATTAGAATTTCCAGAAATTCCTTATGTCTCACTGCTGTGGAATTTGTAATGATGGAGTTACCAGTTTTTAGTTTTAAAAGGCCTAGAGACAATAATAGTTGTAGTGAGCCAAAGATTTACAATGACCAAAGACAAGGATGTGTCAAAACACCAGAAAATCATACAGGGGGAAAAAGAAAGTATCCTAAGCTTGTGGCAAAGAATACAACCCAACTATTCTGAAAAGTATGTGGACACAAGCAGTGTTCTCAAAAGTGCCACTAGGTCAGAGGAAGAAAATGATAATTTTTATGTTTGTATATGTCTGCATGGTCACCAGAATGGACTTTGGCTTTGTCTCAACACTCACACCAATACGTCACAGTGGGCCATTGTCTGGTGACAGAGTCACTTCATGTAGCAGCAGGATGTGTGGCAGGCAACACAGAATGTCAACAGGATAATGCCAGGTGCCTTTCAGTGGGAGTCTCTATTATTGTTCAGAAACCATTTTTCATCTCTTCTCTCTTAGCCCCGATGTGGTAACTCTGTTTTAAGATGACAAGACCATATGGATAGACATGGACTACTTTGCCTTAGATAAGGCTCACATTCTGCAGGAAACAGTATCTTGGTAAAAGCCAGGTCTCCTCAAGGGATGCCTCCAGTTGCTAGAACACACTGCACATACGAAGCTGAGGTTGGGAGTCCTAAAATGATTTTATAATTCACTCACAGTCCTTCTGGTCCAGATGCATCCCACCAATAATAAATGTGTTGCCTGGTACACATCTGGCATTCTCCATTTATCTTAATCTCAGATGTTCCCAGGGGAAGTGTTGGAGAAAGGTTCAGACCTGCTGTTAATTCTTTCTTCAGAGTGTTTTGTAGTGTACTTTGTCAATATAGGTCATATTCATAAATTGTATATTATTTTTAGGGCATATGTTCAAATCCCCACCTCCTCCTCCTCCCTGATTTTGCAGATCACTGTTTTAGAAAGCAGTATTATATGGATCCCTGCCTCATAGGTCCTGGTTTGATTTGTTCTGTACCATGAATCTAGACCATATAATTGCAGAGCATCAGAAACATAGCCACACATTGTAATCCTGATTTCCAGATAGCCATTTCTGCCACAAGGAATGGCCAATGGGAGTTTTTTTTTTTCCTTTGTAGGGATAACATCCTGTGGAGAATTTGGATACAAGGAAAGCTCTTGGTAGAGAAAATCTGCTTTATATTCTGTTCTTTAAGTGGTCTGTTTGCCTTCCCAGAGCTATTATCATAAAATGGACTATGAGCAAGCAGATGCTACTAATGAACAGTAATTGAAAACAATTACATAGTGCCAAGTATAAATTCAAAATGATTTAGCTGCTTTATCTCATTAAAAGACCATGATTTTTTTAAGGGTAAATCATGCAAATTCCTCCCTCCCCCCTTTACAAGTGGGAAAACTGAAGTTTAGAGAGAGTAAGTAACTTGTGGAAGATTACTCAATGATGAACTCTGGTTTCAAATCCTGATATTCTGACTCAATAACTTATATGTTTTTTTTCCTGGTTTTTTTTTTTTTCTCTTCACTATTAGGAGAGCTTAGTACTTCTGAGAATTTGGTCTTAGATTAAAAAAAAAAAAGGGTTAATATCTTGATTTATCTCAGATTGTGATCTCTCTCTCACACACACAGATATATAACAGATTAAGAAAAATGTAGTTATTTGTTATTATAGTTAATTATTTTTTTAATTAAATTTTATTATCTGTGTACATATCTTACCATTCCCCCTCCCCCATACATACCCTTCCTCCCCAGAGTTTTGTGTCCATTGGTTGTACTTATACGCATGTATACAAGTCCTTCGGTTGATCTATTATCTCTTCCAGATCTCCCTACTCTCTCCACTGTAATTTTACAGTCTGTTGCTTTACTGTCTCTGTATCTATCTTTTGGTTCATCAGTTTATAATGTTCTTTATTATCCATAAATGAGTGAGGTCATGTGGTGTTTTTCTTTCAATGACTGGCTTATTTCACTCAGCATGATGTTCTCCAATTCCTTCCAGGTTGCTGCAAATGATGAGAATTCCTTTTTATGGCAGCATAATATTCCATTGTGTAGATGTACCATAGTTTTTTGATTCAATCATCTGCTGACGGGCACCTAGGCTGTTTCCAAATTCTAGCTATTGTAGATTGTGCTACTAGAAACACCAATCAGAAAGGATATATGCACCCCAATGTTCATAGCAGCACAATCTACAATAGCTAGTATTTGTTATAATTTATGCATTCTTTGGCCTTTATGTTATACTAAATTAAAACTCTGAAAAAAAAAAACACACCTGTTTTCTTGCAGTTCAAAACAGAGTCACTTTTTAAAGGTTCAGAAGTTCAAACAGACTTAAATTTAAATAGATTATATTGAGAGTTCTTTTTCCATTGTTTTTGAAAATTAAGGAAGGCATAGTTAAATTTTGTTTTTATTTTTTTGCAGAACAATAGTCATGAACAGAAAGTGACTTTACACAAGGAAATAATTAAAGGACTCTATAGGCTGAATTAAATGTAATTATACCAACTGAAGTAATAGTTTTTTACATATTACGGTAGAAATGAAAAATTATCTTAATTCTAAAATAAATGTTATACAATAAAAACACAATACTATGAGCATTCTAGAGTGAAGATTTTTAAATGAAGTTTAATTTTAAAGTATAATTGACTAATAAAATTATATTATTTACAGTATACAATCTTTAAAGATTAATACATAAAATATACAGTTTTATGATTATACATATGTATTCTGAAATTATTACCACAAGCAAATGAATTAACACATTCATCACATCACACAGTTTTTTTTTGTTTGTTTTTTATCGTGTGTGTGTGTGTGTGTGTGTGTGTGTGTGTGTGTGTTTCTGGTGAGAATGCTTAATATCTGCTCTATTAGAAAACTTCAAGTATAGAATACAGTGTTATTAACTATAGTCACCATGCTGTATATTAGATCCTCAGAATTTGTTCTTATTACTAAGAGTTGATAGCCTATAAAGCTTATTTTTGAATAAAAGCTTCTAATGCATGACAAACTATTGATAAGTTGTGCAGCTTTCTCAAAATGGACATTTCTCAAAAAATTTTTTTTTCATTACTAAAGGCTCTGTCTGTAAGTAAATATCTTGAATTTATTAACCTTTGTGCCAATTTTGAGGACTTACACATATCTTTACCTATGAAATGTGATAACTTCATTCTTTAACTTTTGGTTACATGAGTAAAGTGCAGCTATTCAAAACAGATTACTTGGATTTATATTGAGATTCCTATTAAACAGTATAATTTAAATTTGAACAGGAAATCGCTGTTTGCTGATCACTTATTCCTTTTTTTTATCAATATGCTCAGTACTATAATAATATAGAATAACAATTTCATGTGTGATCTTTAACCTCCCAACATTGGTAATTAGTTTGAAATTTAAATCAATCAGTTGAAATAGCTAAAGATAACTTTACACTAAACATTTTACATATGTAAACATTTTTAAGAATTCTATAATTTAGGGCATTGAAGGATCAATGTGGGTTAGAAATTTTAGAAAATTTTATGCTTTAAGGATGAAGTGATTAGAAATTTGCTGATTTTCCTACCTAAGCAGCAATTGCTTCATATGATTTGCTAAGGTCACTTTTGAAGGAAGCTCAAATTTTGAAGGAAGCTTAAAGGATATCTTGACCAAGACTCTATGAATCTCCCCTACAACATGTCTAAGCCAATATTTTGAAGAGTCCATTCTGTTTTGGGGAAGCTGTAATTTTCACAAAGTTCTTTATCTTTTGAACCATAATTTAATTTCTAGATAGATTTTAAAAAAATCTATAACTCTAGAGGCTATGGAAACTGAATCACTCTCCTCTAAATTCTGTTCATTTGTTTCTTGCCTGATGATATTTCAATCTCATCATTATTATAAAGGTGTTTGTTTGAATGTATTAATAGTAAAATTCATTAAGCCCTTATCATATATCTTTAAATCCTCCCGACAACCTTGGTAAAATCTGCTGCTATTGCTGCTGTTGTTATTCCTGTGAGAGACCAGAGGCAGTGACAAGTGAAGTAACTTGCTAAAACTCGTGGCAATTAGGAAGAGCTTGGGTGTGACCCTAGGTATCCGATTTCTAAGCTCACCTTTTTAACCCACTACATCATGCTAGCTGCAGTTTGCCACGTCTTCCTTGTATTGCTTTTAAATATATATTTTGTTGATTTCAGGGATAGGAAGGGAGAGGTAGAGAGAGATAGAAACATCAATGATAAGAAAGAATGATCATTCAGCTACCTCCTGCATGTGCCCCACTCGGTATCAAGCCCACAACAGAGGCATATGCCCTGACTGGGAATCTAAGCATGACCTCCTGGTTTATGGGTTGACACTCAAACACTGAGCCACACTACCTAGGCCCTGTATTACTTTTAAAGCTGGGAACACAACTGAATTCAGGCTGTTTTGGTATGTTATCTGATGTTTGCTAAGTGGAAGTCTTACCTTCTTTGTTTCAAATATTTCATTCTGTAATATTTAAGATCTGTGGTTATTTGTGCCCTCAGGTTCACCTACTTTGCTGTTACTTATGTTTTAGATGTTTTCTTCATTATTTATAAGCCAATCAATTGTATGACACTATACAAACACACA